TAATATTATACTAAAAGTACTAGGAATCACTTGCTAGAAGAGAATATTCAATCATTTTACTACTGTAAAAATGCATTTTCCTTTCAATAAAACAATTTCTTAATCCATAGCCATACAATCACTTGTACAATAAAACACAGTAATGATTATTTCTAAACTAAAATTTAATCAGGAGCAAATGAAAGTATACAAGCGACATGCATTAGTACTAGATTAAATAATACATGGAGAATATCTACTCATTTTCTACTATGAAATGCACTTCCCTTTCAATAAAATGATTTCTGAATCCATAGCCATACAATCACTTGTACAGCAGAACACACTAACAATTACTTCTTAACTAAATTTAATCAATTGTGACTAATACAGGAAGTTTGAGCTATATTAGTGCTTTAGAGTAATAAAGGTCCCTATTTCTATGATAAAAAGGGTATTTGTATTTCCTGTGAGAACCCTTAACCTCCTTCGTATCCAGTGATCGTGACACAAATGATATCCATGGGTACTAAACTAAACAATACTAATACAATGATTTCTTAATCTATAGCTATGCAATCGCTTGTATAGTAGAAGCTTGAAGTCGATCCGCTGCATACTATTTCAAAGAGGACTCAAAAATTCTATTCTTCAATACTGCTTGTAATAAAAGATCCGTTCTTTGAATAATTAAATGATCTACTTTTTGTCATATATACCTCGACACGTAGAATCTGCTCGCTGTTAATCTATTTCGATTCAATATTGGACATCTTGGTTTCCATTGATTAAATTGCTGACACTTTAAGTTAGGGACAAAACTATTTCATTCAATAAAATAATTATGCAGTAGGCTACTATCCAATGGATTTACCATTCGATCTTCAAATTCGATCTATCGATATCCATTTTATACACGCATTGCAATCATCCGAAAGCAAAGTAGCCTGTTAATTAGATAACAGCATGCTATGGCTGTATCTTTGCATTAAAAAATAAAGGATTTAATCGTGTGTTGCTAATAGCTTTGTGTTATTCTATGACTGCGGCCTTTAGCTAATTATTATTATACTGTAGGTGTATTTGCAAATTGTCAACAGTAATATGAACAAGAAATACCAGCTAATAATTAAATATATCGTCGTCCGTGCTCAACTCTGCCGTCATACAATGAGGTCATGTTAAAATTGCTGTAACCTTTGTTAATTCCGTAAATATTTAGTAAATATGTACTGGATATTTCAAAATTTATTTCACATCCTAGATTTGTAACAATTTACATATTGCGGATGAATTCTTGGTTTAATAGAATTCTAAAATTAGCTCTAATAAACCGATACAAAACATTGACGTTGCAGTTGCTTCCGCAGGAAGAAGGTATGTAGTCGGAAGTTGCAGCTTAACGGTTGATGACATGTATAAAATAAACTAACTCATACAAGGACCTTTTACTATTTAGAACACATTACGAAATTCTCTAATTAATTTTAATTTTATTTTTGCTTATAGAACTGAATAATAGTGCATCTTTAGTTGCCATTAATCTAATTTTATCTAAGAAAATCAGACGATATTAAATTTATTCATCAAGTAATATAGGATATGTACTGAATAAGCATATCGGGTATATGCCGCCTGAAGCTTTCCCTTCCCTATTGTATCGGTATTTAGTTATTTCCATAGCGAATACATTAATTGTACCATTAAAATCAATAAAAATTTGTCACCTTCAAAATCTTCTCGCTTATAGAACTCTTGGGTGATCTCAATTTAATTATGTCCGACAAAATCAAAGGGTATCACAGCTAGTTATCAACCGTATCTAACAATACTGGATATGTAAATAGAATTATGCCATCATAAGCCTTTTCCCTTTCCTATCATATCAGTATTTAGTTACTCCCCCTAGCGAATTATTGTAATGTATCATTAAAGTAAGTGAAAATTTGTTATCTTCGAAATTTTTCTCGTTTAGAACTTTTCTAGCAGTACTTCTTTTAACTAATATCAACCTAATCTTATTTAAGAACATCAGACGGTATCATAGTTGGTTACCAACTATGTAGACAATGCAAGATATGTTAATAGGGTATATACCGTCGTAAGCCTTTTTCCTTTCCTATCGGTTTTTAGTTATTTCTCGTAGCGATTACATTAATTATGCCATTAAAAGCAGTAAAAATTTTCCTCTAAACATGATACTGGATAAGAATCAAGGTATCATTTTAAATATAATTTTGGACCAAATCTTAAATACTATAGTATACATTACATAAAATTTATTAATCAATTAATTACTTTAATCAAAAGATTTTAAATTGAAATATTTTCGGTATCAAACGGCTTAACCCTAAGAATTTACATCGGTTTAAAGTGAGGGAGATATAGACGTCACGATTTGTAATACATATGGTACTGTGCTTACTTAAGGCTTAATTAAGGCGGGCAAATCTAAAACTTTAAGTTTATTACTGTAACTTTTATGAATATTCTCGCATATATGCTTTACAAATTTGACGAGCTTATTCTTAATTACACTATTTCATTGGACTATAGAAACTATAGTATATTCTAATCATAACTTTGCACCTAAACTACTAGTAGTAAAAGTGATCTTTTTTGATACCTAATGGTAATCGTAGCATGTAAAAGTAATTTTCGTAATTAAAGCAGTTACATTTCATAATTTGCATCTCTAGTTCCCCTATCAGTTCATAAATTTTACTTAATTGATCATATAACGTAATGTAGCAGTTTACAATTTCTACTGAATTTCATATAGTTATGTATGTATTTCTGCAATAAATGCAATAGAATAAAATATTTGTAAGTATTGATTACCATTTCAAGAAGAGGCAGTTACTATGCATTAGCTAGAAAAATCAAGATCTAGTAAGGTATAATTTAATAAGCTTTAGTATGCATGGCTGCTAGTGTAATAAAGCTTTCAGTTTTCCAAGGATTTCCTTGAATCTAATATAAAGTAATAATTACATTAAGTCAAGAAAAGATATTTACTTATTATCGATTTTATTGCTCAATTTATAAACTTCGGCAAATATGACTATCTGGGTATTTCTCAATTAGATGAAATGAATTCTATTACAGTTTCAAAACGCTCATAAGGCTTGTGTTGATAAAGGTACGATGGAATAACAGCGGTTACTGAACAAGAGGGACATAAAATAGATCACAGCCTGCAATGATCTACTTCATCATTTATAAGAATTTTAAATCACTAGGAAGATCAGATATTAATATTAGTTTGGTCTATAGTCAAAAAAATGACACTGCTAAAGAACTATGCAAAATGGGAAAATTGTTCTATTCACTATTTATAAGAATCCAGCATATCATAAATAGATATAATACTGCCTATAATTTAACAATGAAATTGTTGAAATAAAATATGGATTAATTTCAATCTCAAATCATCTGTGACCAATGATACCTAAATAGACCTTAACGAATATCTTGTATGTTTATTATTTCACTTTTTTACTATCAATAAGGATGTTGACTATTTCAAATAAATGCCATTGCGTTTATCAATATCTAACAAAATTATCTAGCTATCCGATAGCAGATGAATTAGATAGAAATTTCGGATACAATATAATATATTGGCCAATACTATATATTGTTAGAACGGGTATACAGTAGAATTCTGTGAAATATTCATTTCTCACACTATACACTATCGCTTGAATGCTTCTAATTTAAATGGCAAGAAATGATTTCTTGTGAGTCAATCCAATTAGGGAAAGATTCTATGAAATCAGCATTAATAAGAAATAATAATACGGAAGTAATTATGAACTGTCCCTACAGCTAAGATGATAGTGCTTTATCGCCCAAATTCTATTGTTTGCATGTACAGCAGCTGCCGATTTGTAGTAAACTGCAGAATTGGATTACATCAGCCGATTACACGCCATGGAAGTAGTGGCTGTTATTATTTTTATTGTTTTTTTCTTTCTCTATACAGTCACGGATTACTAGATGCACCCGGACTAGACAGATAATCTGTTTCAAGTACTTTAAATTCGCTATAATATTAGTATGCAGAAGTTCTATTATTCTGTATTTGACATATTTTCCTAAATTACATATATGCATTCTATACTGACTTAATTAAACCGCACACCATTCTGTACTACTGAAATTTCTTTAATATTACTTGATGTCTGTAATACCCGTGGCAGACTAACTGTTGAGATATGGCTGTGTGCTGACTTTTACATGAATAAATTTTATCAAAACTCTCATTCACACAGAATATTGTGTGGGTTCGGCTTGCAAGCAATGCTATATTTACGTATATTTGTATTCGCATTTATTAACTTAGATACAGTATACTAGCTTCGTAATACTCGTTGTAAAATGGAAACAGTCAACTTGAGCAGTCGAGTCTCATGTCATATTACGTTTCCTTTACTATATTATACCTCCTAGTAAAATAGAATTTTAACGTAACTATGAGTTATATATGCTAGATATACATATCAACTATCTTATACATAATACAGTAAGTAATGTTAGTTTAACTACTTGTGATACCTCGCGTACATGTTTTCTGAGTATAATTCAGTATTTTATATTTTGATAAGTTCTGCTTGAAAACAGTTATAGTGTATAGTGTCAGAAATACTTTTGAATTAATAGTAGTGATTAAAAAACAGGAATAGGAGATCCGTATTAAGTAGCTATTTTTCTATCCACATTTTCGCTCATCTTCGGTCTAAAACAGTCTGTCCATCCGAGGAATAGCCACTCTTGGTACAGTGTTTAGCGGTCATCTGGTAGTGTGTCGTAGCTCACAAAATAAATCCATACTGATTTAGTAATGATGGGACACTAACATGGAGCACTGCATAAGACCACTATGATCTCTTCCATACAGTAGTAAAAGTCTGATAGAGATTTAAGAAAATCGCGGATTTTCTTGTATCTCTATTGGAAATCCATATGCAATATTACGGTAGTGAGATCAGCTACCTTTGATCAGCTAATATTCAGTTATGGCGGAATTAGCCTCTAGTGACGGTCAACCTGGCAGAGTTAAGGTTAATAAAATCATGATTTTAATCAATAAATTGTAACAGTAATCATGAAGGGGACTGTATAATAACCTAGGGATGCCTTACTTTCTTGTCATAGGGTGCTACTGTGATTAAACCAATCATTTATGGTAACATTGCACAATCCTTTGGAAAGAAGCGTGAAGAAGATAATCATACTCATGAATGGACTGTGTTTGTTCGCCCCTATAAAGATGAGGTTAGTCATTCCATATCAACAATAGAATGAAATGTAGAGGTATTAAAATAGACAATCCGTATTTAGGATGTATCTCAATGGGTTAAGAAGGTCCAATTTAAATTACACGACAGTTATACTGATCCTGTTCGAGGTATGGCGTCGATTATTGTTTGTCGTTTAAAATAGCGATGATATTTGAATATTGATTGCTTCATTTTGGATCCTCGCATGAAATTCTACTACTTCACCCATTTCCTACTGTCCTGTGTATCAAATAGCACAGTCAACTAATACCTATGCTATTCTAGCCAATACAATTAGTCTACCTATTGCATATCTATTTTTAAATAAACTACATGATTGGAGATGGCTGCTTTACTTATCAACTGATATCCTCATGACTGGATTGAATCATAGTGTTGACAAGCGCACCGTTTGAAGTTGTTGAAACTGGCTGGGGTGAATTCGAAATTGTTATTAAAATATTCTTTACCGATCCAACTGAAAAACCGGTGAGTACTGATAAATAAATCTTAGCTTTAGTTGATGGTTGCTTTATACAGTATGCGATTTTAAATTAAACATACCCGTATATGCTAATGCATAAAGAGACCTTACTGATTTGTACTCTATAATCAAGTTGTCTACATACTGTATAATCACTTCGCATTGTATGCTAAGTACTTTCAATGGGCCTGCTACTTAATTATCATCATCGTCATGGTTAAGAAATCTACTTAGTTATAGATGATGATTGCCTTGTATGCCATTTCAAATCAAGTAGGGTATACTTGGTAACAGGATGTAATGATACTGTGTTATGCTAACCCTCATGGATGGGGAGACCTTGCTGATCTGTAGAGTATAATCAAGTTATCTATCTACACATGGTCACTTCGCATCGTACGCTAATTACTATGATTAGGCCTGTTGCTTATCATCATCGTCATGGACCTGATAGTTATGGTAATAGCTCATTGCACTGACGATGCTGCAGCACATTGCACAAAATACCGTTATGTAGTATTCTGTCCTCCCTGCAACGCAGCCAGGATATCTGGCGGATAATGCCGAAAAGCAGATATATCAACTGTATTATAAATGATATAATAAAAGACATGCATGAATGAGCAGCATGTAGCGAATACTATTGCAAAATCGCTAACTTGATATCATATCAATATTATTGTCCTAAAAACCTGATCATTTTTATAATGTTGTAAATTTAATCCTTCATTTGTTGAAAATTCAACGATAGGTTACGTTATATCATGCGTTAAAATTATTTGCAACTCCTCCAGTTACATTAACCCCTGGAAAAAGAGTCTTTAGCGAACATTATGATGAAATTGTAAGTATATAAATGTGCGTTAGTTTTGCAATTCATTAATGAAACTTGTATTGCGATAAACTTCAAATGATTAAATAATGTCTACGAATTTTCCAGCATAAGCAATTATCAATATAACTTTTGGAATTATTATTACTTCTAACAATTTAATTTTATAACGTAATAGGTATTTACCGATCCAACTCATTTTATGTATTCTTGTCTGATGAATGCCACGCCTCAGCAATCACTAAAACATGAAGTTGATTGTAAGAGTGTTACCAACCGATAAAATTTCCTACGTATTACGTACTTGAAATAGGTGATAGAAATTGTGATAGTAGACTGACTATCCCCTATCGTTATCTTCGGCTATGAATTAAAATAGATATTGCTCATGAAAAAGAAACCATGACATTAATTACCAATGCAGCGAAAAAGGTAGAAGAAGAAATAGCTGATAAAAAGAAATTAATTCAAAATCATAAAGAAACCAAAGAGCAGTATGTTAGTGAAATTGCAAAGTTGGAATGTGAGGTGAAAAGTTAAAAAGAATTGATTTCTCAATGTAATGTACTGTATATAACATATATACTGTATGTGTAGATAGTATTCGAATTGACGTTTGTTAGTTTATGTTTTGTTTACATCAACAAAATTAACGTCAATCATTAGCAATTTGATGTAAAGCCTGTAAACTGCTATGGCAGCTAAGTATATGGACTTGGAAGACTAGTCAAAAGTTGAATTTATTATAGTCATCTTATCATTGCTATTAGCAGTAGGTCAATCACCGTGCAGGCCTTTTTCGATAAGTGTTTAGGGCTTTATATGAGTATGCTTAAATTCCCTTCTTCCAAACTTCGAAGTTACAAGCGTTCAAGACAACCTGAATTTTTTAACATGTTTAACGTTGTTATCGAAATGAACGTTGGACAATCTTATAATTCTTATTAATCGATTATCGCTATGTTTGCAGTTGTTATTTGTCAAGCAGATACTATTCGGTTTATGTTTAATAAAGAAAGTATTTTGATTGTGCCTTCTTAATTTTAGTAATCGATATACATTACAGTATTGCAACCTGTTTTGGTGAGACATTTATTAGCAGCTGACTACAATGCTATAATCAAATCCGTTCAGTTATAAAGAACGTTATTTTACTTGGCGTCATAACTTATTTCTCTTATTTCTTTGAATTAATCCGCTGTATTGGTCACTTTCTATTAAGCCGTAATACTGAATTATAATTATCTTTCTGCATATCTCTGAGTATCAAGTATGAGTGTTCTATAGGACATAAGAAGATGCGCTTCGTTGATAAAATAAGGATATGCCGTTGCGGTGATGGTAGTTCCAATAACAATAAAGGAAGAAGTAAACATTCTTTATGATAGCAATAATACTATCCATATCCATGATCATAATTCTGCAGTTATTTCTAATCTAAAATGATTCCTTATGACATTAAGGTTTTGTTTAATTCATAAAACAAATCCTAGAATGGAAATGCATCATTCATGACTCGATGATTTTAAAACATTTATTTCATTACGTGAAAGATTAATCTCTATCAAATAAGTACAATTCATAACCATATATTCATGCAATAAGCATCGATTTACTAGAGTTTATCAGTACATCCGGCGTTATTAATTGGATATTGTATGGTATAGTGAATACAGTCCATTAGTCGTTGGCGCATCTTAAATCGTTTCCTGTTCCACTTAAGGTGATATGAATTCATAACCATTAAATGCTTAAGGATTATATAATTACTGCACCGCAATAATTAATATCAGTTCAGTCAAAAATTACTAAAATTTTTAGTCATCTTTAGAAAGATGTAAGAATAAATATAAATTATATAGCTAGCTACCGAGGATTAAAACTTACGGCCAGTGCAATAGTGATATTACCTAAACATGCGTAGTTATCCATACTGTCTTAAAATGTGTAAGTACCCTATTCTGCAATTATCAGGATTCTAGGTGGGCACATTATCACTTATATGTCACTGCTGATTGTGCAACAGTTGCTTGTACTATCAAATTATGCGTATAAGTAGATCCATGGCAGATCACGCAGCCATGATAAGTGTTAAAAAATTCATTTCAGACTTGAATGAAGAAGTTACAGTAGGTACGGTCACAACACGCTTATACACGATCATAGCATCGACTATAAATACATTCATATGAACCTAAAGAGTAACAAATGATTTGTCTTTACGGCTAACCATAATACGTCGTAAGTCATTTCAACTGGCGTTTTAATGTATACTCGCAATGTGCAATATCTGACTTTGTCCAGGTTTCATATCGTATCACTTAAATTATAAAAATAGGAAGGAAAGATTCACCGCGATACTAATTCTCGATATGAAATGGTAATCGAATCAAGCCAAGTTAAAACATTCTAGGAAGAGTACCGAGAATATATATCTTTGTCTTCATATATAATGTCCGTAGATCAGATTAATGTCAATTTTAACAAAGTATCCATCAAATTTGCTGTTCAAAGTAGGATGGCAGAAAGTCCTCGCACTTAATCTAGTAAAGTTGTTGTAATATCAAAACTTAAGATTGTGGATCTGCGTTAGTTTGTAATTATAATAATCATTTTATCAGGCAATTACGTAGTTATTTACTCTAAGGGCAAATATACAGTCACGTCATTCTCCATTACCTGCGTTTGTTTCTCTGTGAATGTCTGATTTTTCTGCATAGTTATCTTTACTACAAATTTATTAATACATATCAGGCATTTGGAAGTAATAATATAATAAAATAAAATAAAGTTAATACCGTTTATCAACTTTATCTTCTCTATCAGAATCGTTTGCAGTGTTTTTGTTATAGACTAAAAGATTTCAAAAATAGTTGTTAATACGACTGTTCAGATAATATATTAAAGTTACTGAAACTGTAAATTGCCACTGACTAATCCGAATATCTTGCTATACCTTTTTTTTCTTCACGTTCATTGATTTCGTCCTCGCTTTTACTATTACCTTTTACCCAATTAAAGTGCAATACTGTCAGTACTACAACTAAATTGGGTGTAAGGCTCTTAATGTACGTATAATTATCGATATTAAATGCATGTTTTAATTCCTACATACTGTCAAGTTCATCACTATCGTTACTAGAATTATTTGATTCGTTTCTTTCCTTGTCCGAAATGCGATCTTTAGTGTCCTGATGACTCTCTACTATAATTAAAATTAAATTCATGTCGCTTATTGTGAATTATATTAATATGATATATCGTACTATACACAACATACTCATGATTATACTCGTTAATTTAAATGACTACTTAATAATCAAACAATAAGTACTGGAAATGTTAGCTGTCTAATTGCGATAGCAAATATCAGGTCCTAATTAGCATCTACTTTTAAGGTTATATTTTTGAATTCCTTTATAACCTCTGACATTTTTATCGTTTTCATCAAACAAGTCCGAATCTTTGTCTTCATCTTCTGTTTTTTGATCCCTTTCACTCGATAAATGACCTATTCCTAAATACGCGGTATATATTACACGGTATATTGTAGATGCATTATTGTTAATAATAATTTTCCATAACAAATAGAAAGGCGATAAATTACATCACTATGTATTCAGTACCTTTCTTTCCTACGCGTATTTCGTTGCCGTTCTTTTTATTACCGTCATCGTTAGTGTTCTGGGCCATAACGTTATCACCATTTAAGACTTCCCTTCTTACCTTTATCTAAAATACCACCGCACAATTAAGATTCTATCGATGTAGCTTCATTTACATAAAAGCTTAGCAAAATCTCAACTCTTGTATTACTTCAATACGAATATTGCACGCTCTTAGCAAGAAATTACAGTCACTAAATAGTTGATTGCCAATCTGTATCACTAAATTTGCTAGGACTGATATTGCTGTATGTACAACACTTGCATCAAGTAGATCTCCCCACACAGCTAGATATCACGGACATATATCAGCTACCGTACAGCCTAATTAACACTATTAATACTTTTCGGAGTTAGAATGCATACATACCTGAACTTTTGTTCTCTGAGTCCTCTAAATCGTCCTTAGTTTTCTTTGCTTCTTCATCTTTGTTGTCTGATGATTCCCCTACAGGTTTTATGTTCTTATCTTTCACAACTTTATTAATGGAATGAACGTATAGTTGAGTACTTATAATACTTATTATTAAACTGATAGTGTACAATAATAAAGTAAATCGCAATTAGGAATGCTCTATAACTGAATTCCAAATAGCTTACCTTTAGGTTTTTGTTGGTTTTCTTCCGTAAAATCTATCGCGAAAGTCAACGGCAGTTACATTTCACGATACAAGAAGTAAAAGCATAAAATTAGAATGCAGCATAGCAATCGCTATTAGATATCTTGTATTTCATTCTTGTATTACTGCGAACAATTAATTCCATTTATGACGACTCTTAAAGCTTAAATTTTATCTTATGGTAATTTAAACCTATCAATGGATGACTTGAGACAGTCAATCTAATGGAAGTGCAGTACTTCGAACAGTATTACTATAACCAAAACAAAACTTAGATGGATAACCTTTGTGATTTGCTTCACGATTAGTTTCAATATTATTATTATATGTGAATAAGTAATGTTGCCAATAGCAAACTACCTCGTTTTAAGTCGGACTGTTCCTTATTGACTGTTTCCGATTTGTCATCGTCATTTAGTGTTCCAGGCTGTTTTACATTTTCCTTGCTAATATCTGCCAATACAGAAGAATTTAATAATTGCTACTACTTCATAGATAACAGATAAAGTGCACCTTTACATTCTTAAATACTTAGTGATTCTGTATTATTCCTTACAGGAACAAATTGTAATTTAACTATATTTAGAATATATCATTAACTAAACATATTACTATAACATTTTATAATTATATAACCTGCTTTACTAGATTGATTATGCGATTTTTTATTAACGTCATTAATTAGCTTCTTTATAACAGGCCCCTCTTCTTCCGATCGATTATCTTCATGAGTATTTGCTGCTCTTTCTAAAAAGTAGGCATAGTCAATAAAAATGTTATCGAACTAGTAAAAAACTTGAAACTGTGAAGAAAAATTTCTCGCTATCTGCACTATATTAGATATACTGTACATCTACCAATTATAAGTACAAATTCAGCATAATGACTTTAAAATATTAGAAACTGTTTCGTTTCATTTTGTATGTGGTATATTTACTATTAAAATAATATCACCTTTATTGCTCTTAGCTTGGAGTTCCGCCTTATCGGCATCGTTGATATTAATTTTATTGTAACTTTTATTTGGATCATTATCCGTTTTTACGGTCTTTAATCCTTCATCCCTTTCTACACTGCTACCATTCAGACGGAATCTATTTTTTTTCCTGTATTTTCGTCTTCTTCTCATGCCAGTTTTACTTACGACAACTTTATCATTGTAATATTTGCTTTTGCGACTCTGTTTCTCTTCTTGTGAATGCAGTCCTTCAGAATTCTTATTAGCAGATTCATTGTTTGCAGTTTTTATCTCAGAGGATTGATCTTTTGAATTTATTTTACTCTCCCCAATGGCTGAGCCTAACTTCACATTACTCTTGCGGTTGAATAAATCAGTGTCGTTTGACCATTTGTTATTCACTTTATTTTGCCCGTTATTTTCATGATGGTTACTTTTCTGCAAGTCTTTCTTTGTATTATCGGATCCTTGCCTTGTTTGCTGGCTAGATGCGGATACATTATCGTGGCCTAGCTGAGATTTCTGTAAGTCACCCTTTGACTTTTGCTTCTTTATCCATTCTTGATATAGTCCACGTAAGGGTTTAGCATTTAAGGTTTTCTTATTCTTTGCCTTCTGATTTTTCAACGATGTCAAATGTAAATGTTGACTTATAAATTTACGTGCTTTATCTAATTTTCGTACGCTATCATGATACAGTTTTTG